CTCTCTCTCTCTCTCTCTCTCTCTCTCTCTCTCTCTCTCTCTCTCTCTCTCTCTCTCTTTCTCTCTTTTATTCTGCGTTCACAAAGTCGGCCGATGATAAAACGACCGATGTGAAATTCCCGCGACCCGAATTCAATACTCGATATCCCGCCGATAATGGCGCGGCTCCATGCTCGCGGAATAATATTCATAAGCGGGCTTTATTTGCATAAAGCGAACGGTGCTCGTTCGCCGCTCTCTCACTCGCTGTCTCTTCCTCTCGCTCTGTCTCCTCCCCTCTCTGTCTCCCCTCGAAACAAATAATTTCCGCGGCAGAGAAGGAGGGAGGTAGGAAGAGAGGGAGGGAAGGAAGGAGGGATTTTGCGACATCGCGCGCGCAAACGTAAAAATGTTTGACTGCGACGTGCGCGTGCTCGCGAAAATCAATACGGGAGTTAAACTTAACCCGTTTGACTTAATGGGTTGACCGAACGGTTTGCGTTCGACGCCGCAAATTTATGATCGCCGTAATCAAGATTACACGAGACGACATGTCGCGGTTCTTAGAGACGAAGGTGCAAAAGAGTATCTCCGACATACCTGTTCGTATTTCTCTAGTTCTTGATGATAGATCTGCCTGATTTGTGCTAGCTTCGCCCTGTAATCGGAGTGCTCGATAGCATTGTCTGGTTGCCCGGGTGGTCCAGCAGCCGCTGCCGCAGACGCCGAAGCCGCTGCTCCAGCACCACCGCCCTTTTCTGGTCCAGCGACCCCTTCCGCAATCAACATGTTGTCCAATCGCATCAGTTGTGGATCCGGGGGTTCTTCTTCTTGCGTGTTTCTCAAAGAGAGGACTGAAAGCAAATGAGATCGATGCGTTAGAGTAAAGTCGAAGTATGCTAAAGCATCATGCATATTCGTACGGTCAGAAATTTTCCCTTTCCTTTTCTCTTTCTGAAAACGATCAATTTCACGTGAAAAGTTGTGCGCGAGCTCGAGGAAAGATGTCCAAGTATCGCACGATCGCGTCCGCGAAGACTCGGAAGAATGCTCGCGCTAAATTCGGGGTCGGTCTCGCGTTCACCGATCGTAAAAGAATCAATTTTGCTTCGGCCGCTCTCCCCAAGCGTCTCTGGTCCTTCTACTCGCGCGTCTTAAGGGCCCGTTGCACGCAGTGCTTTAGAACGGGTAGTTTTCCACGGTGTAACAGCGGTTTTATTGTACTTTTACGGCGCATGATGGAGCTGGACGACCCATAAAACCGCAGAGGGACTTTCTGTACCCCCGGCTGTCGTCTCTCTACTCCCGCCGCTCCGCTTTCCCCTCGCTCGGGACGCTCCCTGCCGAGAAGATGCAGCCCCGTCTTCGACAGTTAGCACCCCCTCCGAGTAAACGCCGACATGCATAGAGAAGAGAAAGCGAGAGAAAGCGGGAGAGAATAGAGCTCTCAGACCTCTTCGACCAAGCGTCATGAGGAATATCTCTTTGTTAGGAAGGAGGCTGCTGCTTTTGCATGCGAATCACACGATAGGTGTCTCTGCGGTTATGCAACGAGATTACGTCGATTCGACGCAAAATCTACCAAGAGATTGCGATGGACGTTGTGGTTAGGGTACAAAGAGTACAGTCCCGATGTAGTTTATGATCTCGCGAAAAAATTGCGAAAACGGCGAAAGAATTTCATTGATGAATTTTAAAGAAATAGAGAAGAGACCGTTCGTAGTGTTTATTATTATTATTATTTGAACTTTTGCACGATTACGTCGACGGGTTATCGCGGTGGTCTCCGTGATTTTTTATGAATGAACTCGCATTCGCTCGAATTCGCACGAAACTTTTCTTCTTCGTTACTTTTCGCCACGGCACCTTGCGAAAAAAGTCCCCGGGGGGCAAGGGGAACGAACGAGGAGACTTCTTGAGGATCCGCGGAGGCGTGAAACGAATGCGCGGGACTAATGCATTTATACGAAGTGTAACAATTACGCTGCTTCGAAACGGGGAATCTAGAGCTCCCGCTCTTCGACGGGACTCCAGGGAGGTTGTTTTCCTAGAGCGAACGCGCGCTGCTTTGAGTGGCGTCTTTCGTCACGTTCCAGTGATTGACAGAAGTGTGACGAATGTACGTGCCGCGTTGTTTGCAGAGCACAGGTATATTCCGCATTTCGATGGTCGTGCACGAGTCCCGATGAGTTTGATATAATCCAAATGCAAATATAAAATATTCAGGAAACACTGTAAAAATCGTGCACGAAGAAAATATTGAACTAAAACATTATATTTTATTTTACAATGTCTTTTGTGAAACTAAATTATTGTAGAAACAATAAAAAGTTTGACGATATACCGAACACATACAACATGAAAAATATTCGAGTAATTACAGCAATTTTGTGGCAAGAAATAGATATTTGTAAAAGTTGTAGAAAACATCAATTTTAGAACGTTTGTCCTGTTTCTTTTGCGAAATTAATGGTAATTGCTCGCAACTATCGATAGTTGCATACACAAAAAATTCCAACAACTTTTGTTTTTGAAAAACAGAAACGATTTGTACGGTTATGAGTTTTAGGAGATTAAAATAGATTTTATCGGTCTCGAATGGAATGAATAACGATTTGTTATTGCGTCGCGTTTTCGGATCGACGGAGGATGACGTTTGCGAAAATTAAATTACACCGAAGGAATGTGCGATCGGGTCGAACGAGAATGCCCCCGGAATGAAATCAAATAAGTTTTGAAATCGTAGCACGTCCCACGGCACTTCCACGGACGACTTAAGAAGGGGTTAACGACAGTCAACGCGGCCATTAAAACTTCCGTGCAGCCGGGAACTTTTCACGGCGCTGCACTGTGGGTAATTAAAAATGAAAAACCTCCGACGACGTCGCTCGCCGAAGACGGCGGAATAAAACGTCGGTTTACGGCGATGCGGCGGAAGAACTTGCGCCATTGAAAGTTAAAAGACCGAGCAATTTCGACCGCTGATACGAGCGCTCTCTCGTTCTCGAGCTGTCGCTAGAAATAAATATTTACATTCGCCTTTTTCGTCGTTGAGAAAAATACTAACCTTTGAACAAATTCGCGAAATTAACTCGCTGCCGTTCCAAGACGGACACGAGTTCGTTTTCTTCGTCTCATTAAATTAGATATTCCTTTAGATTATTCCAAAGTTAAATTTTGCGTCAATGAGCAATCTATCAGGAATAATTCCGCAGTAAAATATACTCAGTAAAGGGCGCGATGTTTGGAACTTTGCGAAATATAACTTCGCGACAGTATATTTCACAATACGAAATGTCAACCAGTCAGCCAGCTGGTGTAGCCGGGTGACGTAAAATATAAGAAAGCGGGCAAATTAAACGTTCTTCCGCGGAATTATTTTCCTGCTCGCACTGGTGGCACGGGGGCGGCGGGTTCGAACGGCGGGATGGCTTACGAGCAATAATCTGGCTATTAGGGGGTGTAAGGGGTAGCTCTGCGTGCCACACTGAAGAGAGACCGGGGGTGGCAGCAGCCTCCTGCGGGGGTCCTTACAAGCGCGTAAACTCAGTTTTACTAGCAGTTAACATTTTACGACTCAGACGGTCTGCCGGAGCTGTTCGCTCTCGTTGCCTGTCTCTCTTCCTCACGTGCTCTCCCTCTCTTTGTTTTTCATTCTCTTTCTCTCTCTCTCCACGATTGACACGACGTGCACTACTCTGCATGGGACACCCAGTATATAAACTAATACTGCCTCCACGGGAACGGCGACGTATAACGCTCTCGTCGTTTTCGAGGGTCGTTTGCGAATGAACTACATTAATACGACACCCCGTTGAAGAGCGGGCTAATTGCTCGACTAATCTCCGTGTCCCGCGAAATGACGCGACTAAGGAGGCTGTAGGTAATTCGATGCGCCGATGCTAACACTAACGAATATCTTCCGATCGCGATAGAATGAATTTCTCCCGTTGCGGATGTCGCGAGCGAATTGTGATTTCGCGGATCTCGTAGCGCAACGAATGGTTTATCGTCCCTTTTTTCTCCCTCTCCCTGTCCCATAAATGCTGTATTTTCGATCGCTTTTTAACATCCTGCGGATAAACCTCGCATTTTTTTTCTCGTGTATCTCTGTTCCATCTACTACCCTCGCTCTGCTCCCGCACTCGACCTACCCTCCTCGTCCCAATCCGCTGTTTTCTATCGCGAAAAGCGGGTAGCAGCCGACAACCCTTTGTTACCGTGCCTTATCTTAATTGCTTTCACGGGTTCCCGTTTAGATCAATACGCACCGCCAGCGTCTCGCCGTTGCTCTCTCCTCCCCCCTCTCTGTCCTTCCTCCTCACTCTTCTGTTGCTTTGCTCCGTTCTACGAATCTAAATTATCTGTAGGGTTGTTTCGACGCGTGAATCCCGAGCTACTCATGCTCTCTTCTTCCATCTCTCTTTCTCTCTCATTCTCTGCGTCTCTCTCTCTCTCTCTCTCTCTCTCTCTCTCTCTCTCTCTCTCTCTCTCTCTTTTTACCTTGCATATTTTAAGAGCGCCGATTTGAACTTCGTCGTAGAACTCGTCGGGATGGTCTAAATTATCACACCCGGCATCGTTCGCGCGATTAGGGGATAATACTTCTCTTTACGACGTTGTCGTCATTTTAGTGCACAAGTGAAAATGAGGCGTTGGAAAAGGCTTCAAAATATGCTACTTTAGATGTACCAATGATCTCGCATGAAAAAGCGGGGAGTATCTACCATACCACAAATTACCAAAACCGACTAAAATTAAGTTAAAACATTAAATTAACGTGTTGAAATTATCGCATCGGCCAAGTTACCGGTCATTCTTGCCTCTATCGTATAATTTCTGTATAAAAAATTGGGTTCATAATAAACATATGTCAATGTTAGCCAACGTACCTATCGTATGATATGAATGATTCTTTTTTTATGGATTTTTATATTGACTCGACGTTGAGTGTGTGTATCATAATACTAGTGATCAATACTGGGCCAATATTAGCTTGCTTTCGTATCGTTTGGAATCGACTCAATACTTTTAATTTCACCAAGCTATCCAACACACAGCGCCGTCTCCCAAGTTCATTCCATCTTTTCACCTGTTTTTTTCGGCCCTTTCGTTCACACCTTCCTTCCCTGATCGGAGCACAGCAGGACAGAGAGAAGGAGAGACGCTTACAAGAGAGAAAGAGAGAGAGAGAGAGAGAGAGAGAGAGAGAGAGAGAGAGAGAGAAGGAAAAGGGAAGGTAGCCGAGATGGCTGCTCTTTTAATTCGCGAGTGAATCCCGGTAAGGGTTCGTTTTCCAAGAGAGAACCAGGGATAGGGAAGGAAAGAAAGACGCCGGCCTGTGCCCCCTGGGATCCGATATCGACGCTCCGCCGTAAGAATATACCGGTCTCTCCTGATTTACGAAGAAAATCGAGACGCCAGGCTCGCGTTTCGTGGCTCGTTCTCCCTCATCCGACGCGACGCGACGCGATACCGCTCGCTCGCGTGCCGGTGTTGGAAAGAAAAAAAGAAAAAAGTGATAAACGCGCTTCTATAAACGCACGTAGGGTATCTCGTATCGGAGAATCGGGTCTATTCTGCCCACTCGATTGGATTTAATTCGAACAGTTAGAGTCAAACGCGCGATCCGCTGACGTAGCATTACTTTTCTCTTTTTTCTTTATCGAGATTTTTATAGCAAATTCGTAATAAATATAAAACCCACAAACGACTTTTCCGATGGTTATGTCGATTGCGAGATAAATTATACCGTAGGAACGTCGCGGCCCGTAGAAACATCCCAACGAAACGTTGGTCACGACGAAACGTTGCTCGAGGAGGTGAGAAATTTTAGGAAACGGTATCGAGAAGA